ATGAATAGGAGCTCAAAATAAGAGTATTTTCAGTTTACACCAAGGCTCGAAAATGATTTCAAATGGAGCTAAGGTATAGAGCAAAATAATGCAAAAATGGAAAAAATGAGGACTTACCCTTGTAGCACAGCAATGCAGCCAACCTCGGACCAAGAAAGTGAGCTTTGAACCTCTGAAAATGAGTTCCAAGGTGCTGGAATGGATGGTGGAGGTGTTAGGCTTACAGATGTAGTGTAAATGGCCAAGAAAATTAAGGTTTGGAGCTTTAAAGAAGAAGGCTATGGAGGGTGGAGTGCATGTGCCTTGGCCAAACTTTCTAACCCTTGCAAAATGGGATGGAGGGTTGGTTATATAGAGGAGAAGGGATAAGGCTTCTCGGAGAAGCCTCAAGAGGGGTTCAAAGTTTCTCAAAGAAGCTTAACCAAAAGGGTCAAGCTTCTTGAGGAAGCTAGACCAAAAAGGGTCAAGCTTCCTCAAGAAGCTTGACAAAAGAGTCAAGCTTCCCTAGGAAGCTAAGCAAGAGGGTCAAAACCAACTTAAAAAGGTTAACAAAACACTCAAAATCTTGGACAGTGGGTCAAGTGCTTCACAACTGGCATAGTTGTGTTGCACTTGAGAAGAGCAAAAAGCAGAAAGCTGGCCGACCAGCTAAGGTGGTCGGCCGGCCACTCCCCATGGTCGGCCGACCAGGGGTCAAAAGGGTCAAGAAAAATTGCTGGTCGGCCTACCCAGAAAGGTGGCCTCCCAGATGAGTAAAACACAGCCCTATGGTGAAAAACCAGAAAAAGTGACCTAAGAGAGAGAAAAACCAGCTTTTTAGAGGGGTTCAAAAGGGTCAAGAGGAAATACTGGTTGGCCTACCCATATTGGTGGCCTCCCAGATGAGCACAACACAATGATGGTGTGAAAAACCAGAAATTGTGGCTCAAAAGTAGAAAAAACCAACTTTCTGTCAAAAAAACCAGCTTTTGGAGAGAGAAAATGAGAAAATTGGTTTTTCAGGGGAAAAGGTGGCCGGCCACCATACTACCCCCCCTCCCTAACAGTGAAAATAGGGTCCCTACCAAAACCAAGACGGATGCAAAACGAAGGTTCGGGGGCCAAAACGTGCAATCCAAAGCCCAAAAAACGGGCTGTTAGGCACCGGAAGTGGCGTATGACCACGAAGGTGGTCGCCTGGGCCACAGTGTCCCTCTAAAGGGAGGAAATAAGGTGTGTTCCAAAAACCGGAGCAAACGGAGGTAGTTAAGCGGTCTCGAACCGAGGCACACGGCCGACGATTCCGAAAACTGGAAACTGGGCTCCAAACGGGAAAAAATGGCCTACGACTACGAAACGTAGCCTACGGCCATTGAGAGATGGTCTACGAGACCTCTCCCTCCCTTCAGGAAAAGGAAACAGAGAAAACAGGACCTGGTTCGCAAACCGAGGCAAAGCACAAAAGAGTCCCGAAGTCCGGAGGCAAGCTCGCAACCAAGACTCCGAAACCTCAGAACGAGTACAATATGCAACATCACCGAGCGCTCAATTGGTGACATCTGAGTCTTAAGGTAGGTAAAAAATGGGGTGTCTACAGTTAGCGAGAGAAAGGGAACTGCCGTGGGGAAGTACCGTGGAGAAGTTCGGCTAATCATCTCCTTAGATGTTCGACCCCTTGAAGGAAAAAATAAATAAATAAATTTGTTATTGACCGGTTGACCAGCCGATTCAAACATGACACAGCTCCTGCTATACCTATATATATATATATATATATATTCTTAACACACTCTTTAATACATCCATTGCACCACCACTCACTCTCTAAAATTAACAAACTCTTAACACACTTTAACAAATATTTTTAAACCCCACTTTTATTATTTTTTTACCATATAACATGTTGGACAATCTTTACTGTATTTAAGTAGATTAAATTCTGTTGTGTATTAAATAACAACTAGAATATAAAGAAATAAAGAAAATGAGAGAATTTGTTTGATTACAAAAATCAAATTAGAAATAAAACAAAATTAAAAAAAAAAAAACAGATTTTATTTTGTTACAAAAACAAAATTAAAATCTGATTTAAATAAATAAATAAAACAGAATAATAAATTAAACAACTTACTTGATTAATTTCTTTGAATAATTATCTGATCAAGTTCGGTGTTTGACACTGTGTCCTTAAGACAGATTCGTCCTCTCCACGGTGCTTTTAGAATTTGGACGTCTATCTCTCAGGATAAAATGATCTACTACAAACAATAGCAGCACTACAAATTGTTTGCTTAACGAACACACTAAGTGTTTATACTGTCTCACAGAAGAAAATAATGCAGCAATATGAAAAGAATATTTGCAGAATTATGAAGGACGATATTATTATAGTTTCAAAATCCAAATGAGGGTTGTCCTATTTATAAATGGATTGGTGGCTAGAGGTTTTGAATCAAACAGGTGCAAACCTATTTGAACAGGTATGAAATCTGTTTGTTTTGAATTCAAACAGATTTAAATCTGTTGGGTTCATAATTAAACAGATAACAAAAACGGGAAGGGCCCTATTTGGGTGTACAGTAAAAACCAGACAGTAAAAATCGGACCAGTTTATTTTCGAAATTAATTTGAATTCTAGATTTTATTTTACCAAAAAATAAAATTAAATTCAAATGTTTTTTTGGCCCAAAAAGATTAGTAGGGCCGAACAAGCCCAACCACACACCTGCGCCCAAGCCCAGCCCGAACAGACAACAACGCGCGTGTGGTGATTTTTGGGTCCAATGGGTCTAGCCCATAACCTCTCCCTCTAAAACACTTGGGTACCCCTTGAGGCATACCCCAAGTACCAAACACATGCCTTATAAACCCATTCAAAACTTTCCACCAAATCAATGTGGGACAAACATTATTCAATGCCTTTAAGGATTTTTCCACCAAAACTCCATTTTCATGGAGCATACTTTGGCTTCAATTTTCCATTCACTCGATAATGGTTTTGAGCAACCAAATATATCACGTGAATCACAACGCGGCATAAAATGCGTTACCACTTTGAACCGTGAAAATCGACGCACGTGGCCCACCTAAAAAATAGACAAAACTTAAGAAATTTTTTTAATTTTACATAAAATTTTATAATCATTTCCAACATGACACACTTTAACAAATAATTTTAACACGTCCATTGCTTGACCCGTGTGACACGGGAGGCATTGTGTGAACACCACACTGACACACTATGAAGACTTCTTATTCATTCCAAAAACAGACCGATAAAATAAAAATATTATGATCTTTAAATTTATTTAAATTTTTTTTATAGATACTGTAAAACTCATAAAAATAAACTTTTTAAATTATTAAAATAGGACAGAGGATAAATCTCATATACCTAACATAACAGTCAAGTTCAAATTTTGAACTTGAGATCATGTCCTTTCTTAATTAATTGGGTAGGAGTGGAATTGAATAAAATGATTATTCTATTATAATGTTCAAATAAAATTATCATTCATTATGTTATAAATAAATTATATTTTTGTGTAGAGGTTAACAAACAAAAACTCCGTTTGATTTAGTTTTGGAATTGTGATTTAAGTGTGAAATTCTTCGTTGAGTTTTGAAAAGAAAAAAATTATTTGGTTATGAGTTTTGCAAAGTGTTTTAAAAAGAGTTTTTTTTTTAAAAAAAAAAAAATTGAAAAGAATTTTGAATTATATTTTGAGATTTTAGTTTTTGAATTTTGAGTTGTATTTTAAAAATTTTTGAATTTATTTTTTTTAAATATTAAAAAACATTTATGTTTTTATTTTAAATATATAATTTTTATTTAAATATATTTTAAAAAAATTATTTCAAATATTTTATTTTATCTTGTAAATATTTTAATTTTTTTAATTTTAATATTTTAAATTTAAAACACAACTCCACACTCAAATCGTAATCAAATACATAACTCAAAACCTAATTAAAAAACTATTATCAAAACTCATAACAAAACGCATAATTAGAAACTCTACACTATTTTCAAAATTCCACACTCAAATCGTACCCAAACACATAACTTAAAACTTAATTCAAAAATTATTTTCAAAATTCATAACCAAACACATAACTCGAAATTTCACACTACTTTCATACTGAAATCGTAACCAAACACATAATTCAAAACTAATTCAAAAATTATTTTTGTGAACGAAATACATAATTTATCAAATAAAATAAACTTTTCAGATTATAAAAATGAAACTCTTAATAAATTTTACAGACCCAAATAACGCCCTCCAATCTTGGGGAGGGAATCCACCTCCTATAAAAATTAAAATAAAATATAAGAAATCAATGGCCGCAAGATTTGATATGAGACCCATTGACGGAATAGTATTGTTTCGTGACATTTGTGCCATGTTGTCACCACCATAGACAACTGTTTTTTTGGCTCTTATTTCCTTAATAAAAAAGAAAATAAAATAGAGATTTATTAAAAAGTTCTTTTTCAAATGTTTGTATTACAATTGGTTCATAAAATATTTTTATTTTTCAATAAATCTTATTATTTGAATATTTGATCTACCAAATCCTAATTCTTACATTTAAAGTATTTTATGGACATTTCTAATCTTACAAATATTTTTTGAACAATTAGCAATTTGATGATTTGAACATTCATATTTTACAATGTGCATATTCACATTGACGGTGTGAACATTCACATCACGGAACATTCACACTGTAAATGTGAATATTATTAGGGATATTTTGGTAACTATGACACTCACAGGACTTATTGGAATATAAAAAAATAATGTAGACTAAATGGAACATAAGTAGGTAAAAAGGGATTTATGAAAAAGTGTCCCAAAATAAAAATTTAAATATTTTATTAAATATTGATATAAGTGTGGGATCTATATGGGTCTGATGATGTGGTATAAATCTCACACCCATGTAAATGTTGTGTAAAATATTTAATAATTTATTTAGAATTTCTAACATTCAATATGAAAATCAGACCAGACTTGTCCATATGAACCACAAAACTGCTTTGAACACAAACTGCCCTCCTTTGTTAAAGCTGCTTAGAGCTGTGTGGTTGAACCAGTCACTCGTTCAAGCTGGCAACGGTTTACTTTGACCGACTGTTTTCTAAACTCCTCTAAATTTTGGCTTAGGGCTCTTTCAGCCCTCATTCCGTCATTCAGTTTTTTCATCCTCATTCAGTCTTCACTCCTCAAACCCCCATATCAGTGACGGATGAAGAATCTGTGTTTAGTTTATTCGATTTTGTGTATCTATGATGCTTTTTTGTAATTTTAATACTTGTATTTTTTTAATTTAAATTTTGTAATATATTTGAGACATTTGATCTTAGTTGATCCGGCATTTGAACCAATGGCGATTTAATCCATTTTTCTGGTTTCCCTGACCATTTGTTTTTATTTACTTGTTTTGTGCAGGATGATTTGAAGGATTGGACTATTGATGTGCTCACAGATGCACTAACTCGTGCCGAAGAAACTGTCAGACACAGGCCCAAGTGAATTCGTTTAAAAATAGGTATATTTACTTGTTTTATTATTGTACATGATTGCTTGGTAGGCTTTGAAAATCTTCGAAGTTGTTGATGCTTGACGTTCATGTTCCTGCTGCAAATGGCAAAACAAATGCAACTGCAATGCTATGTAGCCTCCAATTATAAACCATTTGCAGCTGCCAAGTTTTGCAGTGTCACCTTCTTACGGCCGTGTGCAAGTTGTATTTTTTGTTCGTTGTTCACCCTAGTGTTCCAGACTCACCTAATAATTTGTTGTGTCCGAGAAGTTATATGATATTCTTGGAATCTTACGTGCCCACGCCACAATAGGGACATGTCTCCATTTTTGCAAAGGGAATTAGTTGCTGATAAACAGTAGGCTTGATCGAAATATTTTTATTTTTAATCAAATGCAAGTTGCATCAAAAGATTTCATTGTATTATTTTATTTTTGGACGAATTATACTAATAGTTCTTATAGTTTTGGGACTCGTGTCACTTTGATTCTTAACTTTTCAATTATGGCACATTTGCTCCTGAATTTTGAATCGTATTTCAAATAAAGATAATTGAAGATACCATAACTATTGCTTAATTTCAAGGGTAAAATTGTCAATTTGATAAAATATAAACTAATTTGATCAAAATAAATATCAAAAAAATATTTTTAAATTTTCTACCCACCAAAGATAATAAATCTTTTACATTTTTAATACTTTTATTTTTTTATTAAATTAATTTTTAGTATGTATTTGGATGATGATAGTGTAATAAGTGATTGTTTTTGTTTTATATTTTTGGATATTTATAATGTAATAGATGACTACATTTGTTGTAAACATATATATATATATATATATATATTATGGTTATCATGTAATGGATGGTCATTAGGGTTTTAATGTGTAATTGATATGTTTAATATATAAAAAAATTTTGTTTTAGATTTTTTGATTTAATGGATTGAATTAATAATGATATTAAAGTTGTTGTCATGTTTGACTTTTGAAAAAATTGAAACTAATTTAACAAAAATAAATATCAAAAAAAATATTTTCAAAAATTAGTTCTAGTCTCTCAAAAGATAAAATTATATAAAAATGATGTATCTTTAATTTTTTTTCACCAAATTTAATTTTAATTTCTCAGAAAATTTTTCTAAAAATAGATTCTAAAAATCAAATCAAACAGAATTTTATAACCAAAAAAATTTCAGCATTATTCATTAAATAAAAAAGGTCATTACATTTTAAACAACATATGAATCAACAACATAAAAAAAAGTTGTATGACGACTTTGCTCTTCAAATGGACCATTTACAAAGAAAACATCTTTGATTTTCCTTATCTAAACAAAATTCAAATTTAGGTTCAAATATATCATAATTGAAAAGTCAAAGATGAAAGTGTCACAAGCCCAAATTATAAGGATTGTTAGTGTAATTTATCCTTTCTTTTATTATAGTTTTCCATCTTCTAAATATAAGTGAGTAACTTTTACGTGCATTTATATGTGAATTCTAATGTTTTATGCCAAAAAATAAAAAATAAAGTAAGAAATTAAATTAAATGTATTATCATAATTGAAAATATTTTTTTATGAGTTCTAAAAAATTTTGAATAAACAAATTCATTGCGCAAAAAAAAAAAAAAAGAAAAAGAAAAAAAGCAAGGGTTCTAAGTGTTATTTTGATAGCCACACATACGAGACATGCCGTGGGGGTTGGGTAGATCGTTATGCTTTGAACCTAGTCCTCTAGTTTGGACTTATACCATTAATGTTTTTGATTAATTTTTTTTTATTGAACTAGTAGTATATCTGTCCTATGCACAGAATTTCTTTTATGGTCCTGTTTGGTAGAGTTATAGGAAAGTACTTATAACTTATCCCTAAACAGTTTATAACTTATAATTATGAACATAAGTTGATTTCTGACTTATAAATTAAGCATCTCCTGCCCCACTCAAAGAATAAGCTGATTTCTGACTTCCAAAAAGTTATAAGCTATAAGTTATAAGCTAAACCAAACACATCAAAATAGCTTAAATTAAGCTGAAAACTAAAATAAGCAGCTTTTAAGCTGCACCAAACATGCACTATATCAAAAAAAGAAAAAAAAAAAAAAGAGAAAAAGAAAAAAGTAGACATAATTTTTAGCTTAAAATATGTTTATCTTAATTTTTTTTAAACGATATTTATACTTCATTTTAAATCACTTATTTTTCATTTACAAGTGTGAATATTATTGTCCTTTTTAAAAAAAGTTTTTTTAAATTTTTTTTTTAATTGCTAATGCGTTAGATGATTAAAAAAAATCATCAACATGATACTTTCAAAAAAAATTTCTTTAGGTTCAAGCTGTTGGAATTTTGAAATATCAAACTTTACTTTTAAACTATAAAAATTAAAATAAAATACTATTTGTACACGTTGTTTGGTAAGATCAAAAGTTATAAATTTCATTATTACTGTTTAAATATGTTTTGTGGTTGTTGTTATGAAATTTTGTGATAAAATTGTGTCAATTTGTGGTAAGGTGCATATGGTATGCACCCTTAAAAAATTTTGTTAATTTATTTTTGCTCCCAAAACAAAGAACTATTTAAAAATATGTGGTTTATTTATTTATTTATTTTTTTTTCACATCCAAATAATATTGCTGAGTTTATGATATTTCATATGACAGTTACATATTTATAAACTATGATCAAAACATTAGCTTTGTGTTTTTAAATAATCACACTAGTCATTTTGTATAATAATTCTACCATTTTTCTATTTTTATAACAACGACTAGTCTAAATTGATACTCTAAACTGCGCTTCAGCAATTGATGTGTTTGGACTTCGACAACATATTATACGCGTTTCATTTCATCATCTATATTTCATTAATTGTGATTTATTTATTTATTTATTTTTGCCTTATAAATAAGGAACTTAAAATGAAGTACAACCACAAAGCTATCTGATGCCTGAAAACCTGGCTCTAACCATGTATAATTTACCTTTGATTTTTCTGCAACTTAACTTGGTATGGGTTCTTATAGTAGCATCTTTTGCTGCTGCTCAATTCATGCCTGGTTGCCTAGATTATTGTGGTAACATCAGTATCCCATACCCGTTTGGCACTAGTAAAGAATGCTACGTAGAAGAACATTTTCTGGTTACTTGTAACGACACCCACTACGACCCTCCCAAGTTGTTTCTAACAACGAGTCACATAGAGATCACAGACATATATCTTTCTGGTCAGTTGCGCATATCATCCGACGTAGCATATGATTGCTTCAGTGAAAGGGGAGTTTCGGAAAACTATTCTGACCCCTGGATCAGATTGGCCAAATTCCCCATCTCAAATACCCGAAACAAGTTCACGGTTGTTGGGTGTGACTCCCATGCAGTTATCTCAGGCTCCCAGGGACAAAAGTATGCCACGGGGTGCTTGTCACTGTGCGACAACATCAACAATGTGATCAACGGCTCTTGCTCTGGCATTGGCTGCTGTCAGACGAGTATCCCCAAGGGAGTGAGGAGTTTCAACGTCAGGGTCAGAAGCTATGACAACCATACCCTTGTGTGGAACTTTAATCCGTGCAGCTACGCCTTCATAGCTGAGGAAGCTGCTTACAACTTCTCTTCTTCAGATCTTGCAAACTTACAGAACAGAACAATGTTTCCCGTGGTGCTTGATTGGTCTGTAGGGAACCAAACATGTGCTGAAGCCAAAAGCAATCTAACAAGTTTTGCTTGCAAGGCTAATAGCGACTGTTATGACTTTGACAATGGTCCTGGGTATCGCTGCAATTGCTCCCAGGGATATGAAGGGAACCCTTATCTTCCTAATGGTTGTATAGGTAACTACAACTGTGTTGAAAGCTTTCAGTTTCTTCCTAACATTGATGCCATGATTTATATGTTGTAGCTATTAAATATAACATCAAAAATCAAACTTGCTTGTTCTCAGATATTAATGAGTGCATTATTTCAAGCCCCTGCAACATGACATGCCAGAATTTACCAGGCACATACAATTGTTCTTGTCCAGAGAGCTATGAAGGTGATGGCAGAAAAAATGGGTCAGGTTGCAGTCTGATTCCTGTTCCGAACCATAGGCTTCCCGTGATTAACATTGCATTAGGTAGGTACACATACACCCCATACATGCTTATTAATCATAAATTTGTCTACAGATTAAATTTTCATCAATATTCAAACAGATCATTGCTTGTGATTTTGATTCTATCTCCAGTTAAAGGGTTTACAATCCTCAATTAATGATGCACAATCTGAAACAATTCGAAGATGCCATATCTCCAATTACCACATATTGCTGTTTCAGCAACCTAAGATTTATATAGACATCTAAGTTTTTATTCTCTCATCTTATTTTTCATTTTCATGTATAGGTTTTGTTTGATAATTCAAAGAAGAATGGAATAACCACCAAAAAAAAAATAAAAAAATTTGTCATCAAAATGTGACCAAAGTTTAGATCAACATCAAAGCCTGCACCAACCAAACCCCCCCCCCCCCCCCAAAAAAAAAAATAAATAAATAAACAAAACAAAAACTAATGCATAGAAAATACCTAGAAAATGAAATATATTATTCTCGATGCATCCCGCACCACCCTAAATTTGAATCTATACCATACATTTCATTTTTTGGGTTTATAGCTTTTCCGTTTCATCATAATGAAGTTGAAACTTGAATTATGGGTATTGATATTTTCCGTTTGAATATTTGTAGGCATCAGCATAAGCATCTCAGGGCTACTTCTTGGTGGCTCTTGGCTATACTGGGTATTTAGGCAGAGGAAGATCTTCAATCTTCGAGAGAAGTTCTTTCAACAAAATGGTGGCTTCATGTTAAAACAACAACTTACCAAACGTGAAGGATCGGTTCAATCAGCTAAAATCTTTACCTCAGATGACCTCAAGAAGGCAACAAACAACTACGATGAAAGTAGAGTCTTGGGCCAAGGAGGCCAAGGAACAGTCTACAAAGGAATATTACCAGATAACACCATAGTTGCCATTAAGAAGTCCAATGTAATTGATCAGAGCCAGTCCCAGATAGAGCAATTCATTAATGAAGTCATAATTCTCTCCCAAGTCAACCACAGGAATGTTGTGAAGCTCCTAGGGTGTTGCTTGGAGACACAAATTCCCTTACTTGTCTATGAATTTGTTACCAATGGCACTCTCTACGAGCACATACACAATATCGACCACAACAGGTCCTCAATAACTTGGGAGAATCGTTTAAGGATAGCAACCGAAACTGCAGCAGCCCTTTCATATTTGCACTCTGCCGCTAGTACTCCTATTATTCATAGAGATGTTAAGTCCACTAACATACTCTTAGACGACAATTATGGTGCTAAAGTATCTGATTTTGGAGCTTCAAGGTTGATCCCCTTAGACCAAACTCAATTAACCACATTGGTTCAAGGGACACTCGGTTACTTGGACCCCGAGTACTTCCACACAAGC